ATTTGGGGGTAGAGTTGGGGTGAAAAATGTGTGACAGACCAAGCAAACTTTGTTGACCATTGTAGCTGATTTATGGTCTCAAAAGAGGCTGGCAGATCTGTTAATCTGGATATTTTCAACCCTGGCCATTATTTAAAATGAGCTTGAGCATTGTCAAGACACTGTACAGTACATGTATTTATAGAGCATTATCAAATCAAATCAATACAGAAGCAGAAATTAAAAGATAAATCTTAAAATTCAGCAGAAAAGATAAAGCAAACTTTAGAAATTTGAAATGCTTGGGTACATTAAATTTAAAAAATAGCTTTATCTTGGCACTGAAATCCTAAATCAGCCTCTTCAGGGGTGGCATGTCATAATAATAACGTTGCTTAGAACATAGAACATAAAGTAATAGGGTTGAAAGGGGCTTTGGAGGTCTTCTAGTCCAACACCCTGTTCAAGCAGGAGACCTTGTGTCATTCCAGACAAATGGTTATCTAGTCCAGGGGTCTCCAACCTTAGCAACTTTAATACTTGTGGATGTCAACTCCCAGAATTCCTCAACCAGCTTTGCTGGCTGAGGAATTCTGGGAGTTGAAGTCTATAAATCTTAAAGTTCCCATGGTTGGAGACCCCTGATCTAGTCTTTTCTTGAAAAGAAGGAGATTACAACTCCCAGAGGCAAGCTATTCCACTGATTAATTGTTCTCACTTTCAGGAAATTTCCAGGTTGAATCTCTCTTTGATAAGCTTCCATCTGTTACTGTAATCATCTTTTAATCTTTAATAATCTAAGACTGAGCCAATCAGCCCATTAAGTTGGCTTGGCCTCTTGAGTCCTAGAAAATACAATATTTAAGGCACCCCCACATCATGCTTACAGCAGTTTATTCTGAGGCGAGTGTATTCCAGATTGACGTGACTTTAATTCCCAAAATGTATTCAACTGATCTGAAGTCTAAAGAACGCATTGATCTAAGATGGATCATATTATTTACTTTTTTCCTCCCTCTAATTCATTTTTAAAAAGAGGAGGGAAATCAGAGATTTACAAGAGGGAATGCATAAAGATTAGGCAGGAGGGAGAACAAGAGAAGGATGGGAGAAGGTTGAAGAGGAGGAGAAGAAAACCGTGTGAAACAAAATCAAAATGACTCCTGAATAACTGGTTAGAATCAAAGTTAGGACAAAATTGATGACTAAGGAACTCTTTTATGTTGGCTTGGGTAATCAATCAATCAATCAGACTGTTAGAAATGTAGCCTGTTGCATGTATTTGCAAAATATTGGTTGAACAGTCACTGCAGGACTTCCCCTTAACAGTTTACTGCCAAAAATACCATCACATCCTCCAAATGTTTCTTGGTTTCTCTCCTCACTCCTGCAGGAACTCTGCTTTCGACTAAAGTAAAACACAGTTTACATCTTGGAAATAGGCTAAAAAGGTCATACACTGCCATGAGAAAAGTCCTAAAATATGTAGTCTTCTTCTCCCTCCCCCTCGTCCCTTTCCCCCCTGCTATCTTCCAGCACCAAACATGATCTCATCTTGTGGCTTTATTTGGAATGGAGATCAACGTTAGAAGCCTGAACAAAAATTTCTTCACCACGAAACACGCAAAAAGATTGTGTTTCTGATTTGTGCTGTTTCCCATGAGCTGCTCTACCAGAGCATGACTTATTTTCCTAACAAAATAAGAGAGTTGGAGGTCCTCTACTTTAATCCCTTGCTCCAGCAGGAGACCCTATACCATTTCGGTCCAATGGTTGTCCAGTCTTTTCTTTAAAACCTTCAGCGATGGAGCACCTACCTCTTTGGAGGCCTGGCAGATAACTTGTAGAGGGCATAAAGAATGGCCTTGAAGTACAGAAGGAAGCGCACTGTTCCAAACAACCATCAAACAAGCAAAGTTTGAGTCTATTCCAAGCAACTGGTTTCAGTAATCGTCTCAGAAAGACCCCTCCCCAATTCATACGAAGATAACATAGCAGAGGAGGGCAGCCTGTTCAAACTTGCAAAATTTGATTACTGTAACTATTCTAATCAAAGTAGTTTTAGACCTATATGGCACTAGCTTTTTTTGGTCTGCTCTATTCTGCATGGCTGACCACAAATACATTTTTACCCTCTGAATTCAGCTGTGTGAAATCATTGCTCTTTCTCCCTCCTTCCCATGTTTATACAGTTATTCTTTTATCGAATTTTGCTGCCAATAAGCCTTGGTATGTGAACTACCATAAATATGAATGGACTTGGTTTAATATTTTATGAATGGCTTTTATTAAAATGAGGTTCCAGCATAGTTTACAAACATACCATGTTCAGTTCCAGCTAGGATTCCTTGTCTTCGAAAGCTGTCGGGAAATTCACATTGTTTTCCTTTGACCTTCCAGATTTTTGGCTCTACCCCAAGCCTTGACTATACATCACAGCGTTAATTCAGTAGATACTGGTAATGAACTACATGTTCAGGGTGCAGCCACAATTCAGCATTTTGCATGCACACGCATACACACATACAAAATGGTTTGACAAAAGGCAAAACGTCTGCCAGATTTTGTGAAAGTGTGCTTGTCAAGGGGAAAACTCAGTACAATTCAACGTGATGCAATGAAATGGAAGACATATGGATGCTAAAGTTTTGCTACCATGAGTTATTAAAGTAGTTTAAAAGAAAAGCAACTTTGCCAGAACTTTTGGTTGGCATCAGCAGCAGCGATGCTCTCCATGGCTTCTTCTTCTTCTTGGTTGAAGAAAGGTTTCCAAAGTAGAACAATTTTTAAGAGCAACATTGCTCTTAAGATCAGAGGATCAGATAAAGGGTTTTCTGGTTTTGTTTAAACAATTAGTACAGTGTGCACCATTTGTAACAGATTGGCAAAAACTCATGTAAAGAGATTGCCGTCACGGCTGTTAGCGAATGTTTATTATGTTAGTGTAAGCAGAAGTTATAGACTATTGTACTGGATTATTTGCTTTTGATTTGCTAAGAAATCTAAGACACAGCTTGGTAACTGCCTCACAAATAGATGGTAGAACTATGGAGCTTTATAAAATGTCCACATTCTAGTACAACAATGTAAATTTAGAGGACACTGTTTTATAACTAATGCTTTGCTCAAAACTGTGAGGCAATTTCTTAAAAAGTACTTCTCCTGAGGAAATATTTTTCTGTTTTATTCTGAGGAAAGCTTGAGAATTTATTTTAAATTTCTATTTGTATTTGTGTTTGTGCATATATTTTTGGATATGGAAAAGCAGCAGGTGGTATTTTTGTTATAGTTGCTGCTGTTATTGTTGTTGGTTGCACAATCAGCCAGATATTTAAACTAGATTTGGCATTTTCAACCACCTATTGAGTTCTACCCAAGGATCTGGGTTAGGCACATATTGATGTTTTATGGTGTTAAAGATATCTTTGCAGGATGCGAGCCCTTCCAAGTAAGGCTGCCTTTTGCAATTGACATATGGTGATTTTGTAACTAAATGCCATTCCATAACTTGGAAATTCCCTAAAATGCTACCCAATCTGGAAGGGGGAAAATCCAAGGTGAAATTCCTTTTGGGGAGGGGGGGTGTAATAATAGAGAAGAGAGCCAAAGAGGCAGCAGACTTATCAGGAGTATACAATGAAATTCCTAAGATTTACACATACTCCTTGTTTGTTAGGCTTACCTCAACAGTGGCAATAAATCTCAGCTTTCCAGAAACTCAGCCTTGCATTCAGGAAGTAACAGCAAAAGCTCCATAGTCATGATTCAGCTAGTTAAATTGCTTTGCTGCAGACAATAAAGTCGTATTAACAGAAGAACAGAGTTGGAAGGGACCCTGGAGGTCTTCTAATCCAACCTCTGCAGGAGGGGGTTGGATTAGGAGCAGGAGACCTTATATCAAGGAGCTGTCCAGTCTCTTCTTAAAAGTTTCTAGTGATGGAGCACCCACAACTTCTGAAGGCGTTCCACTGGTTTATTGTTCTTGCTGTCAGGAAATTCCTCCTTAATTTCAGGTTGCTTCTCTCCTTGATTAGTTTCCATCCCTTGTTCCTTGTTCTGCCTTCAGGGGCTTTGGAGAATAGCTTGTCCCCCTCTTCTTTGTGGCAACCCCTCAAATATTGGAATACTGCTATCATGTCTCCCCTAGTCCTCTCTTTTCACTAGACTATGCATGCAGAAGATCTGCCTTATTTGAAACACAACATCAAGCCCTCTCATGTGTGTGTGTGTGTGTGTGTGTGTGTGTGTGTGTTTCCCAGCTCCAAGGTTTAAATCCTGGTTTTTTTTCTCTTCCTGTTCTTTGGAGTTAATGGACATTGGGCTGTGTTTTTTCCCCCAACTTTGAAAGTTGGGCAAATCTGTTCCATATTTATATGATGGTACTGTCCAACCTGAAAAGCATTGGTTCCCTTACTGTCAAACCCCAATATTCCACTTTTTAACAAGCAAAGAAATCAATCAATTAAATCAAAGACATCCTACTCCATTCACGAGCATTTCACCAATAGTATTTTGTCCTTTACAAGCAATTTTGAAAGCCACTTGACTTCCACCAAAGCTGAATGTGCAGAGAAAAAAAAATAGAGGCGGTCTTGGACTTACAACATTTATTGCTGGAATCCAGAAATAAATGCAGGGAAATGGCCAAAACAACAACAATGCATTATTCTTGTGTTCCTTTTTCATTGTTTATTTCATTGTCCTGTTATTTTACTTCTGTTTACGCTCTTTTCATTTTCTTCCTTTGAATTACTGTAAGCTGCCTAGAGTAGCCCCATAGCAATGATAGGTGGCAAATAAATTAAATAAATAAATATCAAAAATTGTGATCATGTCACCATGGGACACTGCAAATGGCCATAAAGGTGATTCTGATAATGGCATTCTTTCCATACGTCCAGACATATTCCTTTTTATAGATCATCCTAGTTTTGCATTTATGCACATATAGTGCAAATTAATTGTAGTAGCAGTAGTAATGCTGCTACAGCAATTACTCCTATTCTCTTGTCTTTCTGTAGATCATGGGATATTCTGAATGGGATCATAAACGAGGATCAAGAGAATCTCAGGTCAGACTTTTTGAAAGATTGTTCTGTGCCTGGCTAATTAAAGATTAAAGAGTGTTATGTATTTTGGGGCCAACCTTGTGCACAGCTATTCAGTGTCTCTGAATTATGGTGATTAAACACCCATCTAGGTTTGTCTTTTAATAGGCTTTCATGGTCATTAACTTTCTGATATTTATTATTTTTATCCCTCTGCTGCTATTTTCCTTCAGACTATTTATAGGATCAGTGTACAGCAGTGTTTTTCAAACTTGGAAACTTAAAAAATATGTGAACTTCGACTTCCACAATTCCCCAATCATTAGGAATCTCGGCTTTTTCATTTTTTAGATTGACAGAATTCAACCAATTGACCATAAGTTACTCAACCTCGTTTTCTTGCTAAGAACATTTGTGAATTGCAATAACCACAAATACATCTAGTGGATATATTTGAACCTGAGGGCAATTCACTGAGGTTAGGGTTAGGATTCTTATATATTTCAAGCAACCTCAGCTTCCTTACTCCTCATTGTATCTAAATGGAAACAATGCTTTCAAAAAACCTTACATCGTTAAAGCCTAATATTCATGCTATGATTGCAAATAACCTAACTTTGGGATAACTCTGATTTGGCCACTTAGTCTGTGTGTTGGAGATGTTTGTATTTATTGATACGGACTATGAATAATTATAGGATCTGCCAAGCTTCCAAGGCAAGATCCCATTTGAACTTCATTGTGATCCAGTTCTGGATTAGAAGCAATCAGGTGAAAACTGTTGGAAAAGAATAATCTATCACCTTATTGTTGTGATCCACCGTGCTGGCTGATGAATAAAATCTTTTACGTAAAGCTGCAGCTACTGTAGACTTTAGTGGTATAGGGGTTTTTGAAGGAACCCATGATTAAAATTCAGTTTTGATCTCACTTGATCAACATTTAAATCTAAGCTTCTAAGACTCAAAGCTTGACAAATGGTGCACACTGTACTAATTGTTTAAACATGCTTAAGGGATATCTCACTGATATTGATTTATTGATGATATTGATTCCAAAGATTACAGTGAAGGCCCTTTACATCTCAGAAGCAGCAATAAAAGCATAAAATCACTTGGATAAATTAGAGCACCACAGCTGTAAGGGTCAAATATCTTAGTTTTCAATTTACAATTGTAGTTGAACTCGGAATTACGCTCATTGATTGGGTCACCATAAGAGCCATGGTGGCACAGTGGTTGGAATGCAGCATTGCTGTTCTGACCCAACCGGGTTCCCAAAGAGCAAACACAGACAAAGGCAGCAGCCCCCACCTTTTAAGGTTTAATAACGAATTCTGTTCTGAAGGCTGCTTTCCACTAATTAGCTCCAACAAGAAAGAGCCTTGCCAAGTTGTTTGTCAAGGCTGCCAAAAACCCAGGGATAAGAGCTAATTTACAAGATTCTCCAAACACGAACTAAGATGTCCACCAGTTAAACTTAAGAGCTTCTTTCCCTCCTGCAAAGAACACTTTTCCAAACCTGGCTTTTATCCTCTTGAGGGAGGGGCCATTACCTTGCAGCCTTACTCCTGAGTCACCCATGCTGCTGCAGCTGCTCTTTCCCGCGAGCAATCCTGCGTGCACGCGCACTTGGCACAGGCTCCTCGGGAACCTCCTCATCACTGCTGCCAGCCCCCACAATCTCTGAAGGCAGAAGTCCACTCCCTGATGGTCCTGGCCCTTCATCAGAGTCTCCTCAGCCATCTGCACCTGCTGCTGGCTACCCACAACGATTGCAGGCTAATTCTGCTGACTGCCAAGAGTTCGATCCTCATCAGCTCAAAGTTGACTCAGCCTTCTATCCTTCCGAGGTCAGTAAAATGAGGACTTAAATTGTTAGAGGTCTTTGAAGCAGTATATAAGTCTAAGTGCTATTGCTATCCTGCCCAATTTTGCAATTTTTTCTGCAGCAATCATTAAGCCAACATGGTGGTTGTTATATGAACAGAGTAATTATTAAGTAAATCCATTGCACTTGATGGGCTATACTTTTTTTATCAGAAACAGGAAGTAAATGCTGGTTTCTGGCAGAAGAAACCCATCTAAAGATAAATGCTGCCAATAAAAGTCCAAGCGGAATTCAAAGGAGAGGAGACGACTCCCTCATCCCAAAGGTGCTTTTTCAAGAAGCTACTGACCTCCTTTGTCCTTTGTTTTCCTTGAAGACATTTCACTTGCCATCCAAGAAGCTTCTTCAAAACTGAAGAAGGTTCTTGGACGAGAAGTGAAACGTCTTCAAGGAAAAACAAAGGAAGTCCAGTTGCCTCTTGAAAAAGCACCTTTGAGACAACCATGACCTGGATGACTGAGAATCTCCATAGACACTTGACTCCCTCCTCCATGTAAGTGTAGGGGTGGATTTATGCACAAAGTAACATGTGGCCATTTTGGCCTTAAGGGTAGATGTCCAGCTGCAGCGTGAGTTAATCTAAAGTGGAAAAATATCAATACATGAGCTTCCCTTGCCCTGTGCAATTGACTTTCTTAAAGACATTTCATCTTTGGCAGGAAGATCTCAAAAGTTGGGTTCTTGGTCTGTGCTTGGCAATTTGGTTGCGAACATTTCATTACCATTCGAGGAGACATTGTCAGTACACTTTGAATTGTGCTCGTCTGTCTGAGGACTGGCCTTTTAGTGCCTTTTCATGCGATGCATATTAGTGTGGATGTTGTTTGTTCGGCTACTTCTGAGTCACGGTCTGACTTCAGACTGATTGGCTAACTGTTGTTACCAAGGCATGCATGGTCATTGGTTTTAAGTACCGTCTGTGTGACGTAAAATTAGTGTTGTTTGTTCGGATACTGCTGAGTCATGGTCTGGTTTCGGTCTCTTTGAATGGCTGGTTGTTGTTACTGAGATGTGTTCCGATTTTTTGTGGGTTGTGATTTTTGTTGTGTAGTGGGGTGCCTGTTTGTTCATTTTCAACGCTATCTTCAGGATCGCAATTAATGCCGTTCTTTCGTTCTCAGAGATTGGTAGACATGATCAATGTCAATTTGTCTGTTCATTGACTTACCAGTGGAAAACTGAAAAGTAGTTATACAGCTGTTTAAACTCCTTTGCAAAAGCTCCCTGCATTTGAGAACCTACTGGGTCTCACATATCAAAGATTCCTGACATTTCAGACTTATGAAACAAATTGATCTAAAGTGGGAAAGGGACATTGGGGCAAAGCTGTTATGCATGCCTGTGCTTTGTTTTGCATTATTCATTCATTTATAGTAGTAATTTGTATGCCATCTACTCATCGAATTCCAGGTAACATTTATTTTATGGATGCATTTGTTTATAAGTGTAGCGACTGCTGTAAGAAAGCCATTTTAGGTGGTGACAAAAGCCGGAACCAAGGCCGTGTATATTAAAATACGACATTTTCTTCCTTCCTTCCTTCCTTCCTTCCTTCCTTCCTTCCTTCCTTCCTTCCTTCCTCCTTCCTTCCTTCCTTCCTTCCTTCCTTCCTTCCTTCCTTCCTTCCTTCCTTCCTTTATTTATTTTAAATAAATTGCTACTCCCAGATTAAAACTCATTCTAGAAACTTGACAGGAGTGGATTATATTCACCAATTCCCTTTAAGCGATGTTTTTTACTACCTTGGTCACTTTTAGAGGGGTGGACTCAGTGGTGGAATTCAATTTTTTTTTACTACCAGTGCTGTAAGTGTAGCTTGGTGGGCGTGGCTTGGTGGGTGTGGCAGGGGAAGGTTACTGCAAAATCCCATTCCCTCCCCTCCCCACTAACCTGCTTTCCAGCTCTGTTCTCCTGTGCAGGGCAACCAAGGAAGACTCAGACGATCATCTGGGACTCGGGAAGCAGAGAATAGATGGGGGCGGGGCCAGTCAGCGGTGGTATTTGCCGGTTCTTCAAACTACTCAAAATTTCTGCTACCGGTTCTCCAGAACTGGTCAGAACCTGCTGTATACCACCTCTGTCCCAAAGGTGCTTTTTCAAGAGGCAACTGGACTTCTGGGTGGACTTCAACTCCCAGAATTCCTCAGCCAGCATGAAGTTGAAGTCAACTCATGGTAAAGTCGCCAAGGTTAAAAACAGTGCCTTAAAGAGTGAAAGGATGAAAGTTGCTCAGGGGGATATTCTACTGAGAAAGTCCTCAACTTACAACCATTCATTCCGTGACAGTTTGAAGTTACAACAACACTGAAAAAAAGGACTTGTGATTGTTTTTCATGACTGTTGCAGGATCCCCAGGGTCACGGGATCAAAATTGGGAGGCTTGACAACGGGGTCCTATTTATGATGATTGCAGTGTACCTGGGATCATGTCACCCACTTTTTGCAACCCTTCTGACAAGCAAAGTCAATGGGGAAGCCACGTTCACTTAACAACTGCCGTGATTCACTTAACAATTGCGGCAAGGAAAGTTGTAAAATGGGGCAAAACCTCACTTAACGACTGTCTTGCTTAGAAACAGGGATTTTCAACTGGGGTTGCAAGGTGAGGACTGCCTGCAGTAGGCTTCCCACCTGTTGTGGATTACAAAGTCTCCTCTCCTCCCTTCTTCTCCCTTCCCTTCCCTTCCCTTCCCCTCTCCCTCCCTCCCATCCATCCATCCATCCACCCATCCGTCCGTCTTTCCTTTCTCCCCTCCCCTCCCATTAAGGAACAGCTTAGGATCATGTAGAAGGACTACTTCTGCCCTTTTTCTCCAGGTTTGTTGTGCAAGGGGATGAATTTCTTTTTCTTTTGTTGAAAGGCTGGATTAGTTGATTTGACTGGTTTCCCCTCCCCCCCTTGGAAAGCTCTAAAAAAACATCACCCTCGTTGCTGAACCAGTTTATTGAGTGTGCCATATCCATAGGGTATATTAGCTGCTGCAGTTCTGGTGCAGTTGGGTGGGGGAGTGATTTGCTGAGTGGGGTGGCAAGGTGTAACCCTGTATCAACAAGGAACCAGAAGTCCTTCTTCCCTCAGTTGCCGTGAGATGATGGTCAGCTAAAACAGGAACGAACCCTATGGGCCCGATTCA